AACTTTCATTCAATATGATAAAAATGTAGCTTAGCTCCTGAACCCTGGAAGTTCCAGGTATGTATGCTGACATTGTCCTTTTTTTTCTTTTTCTGGAATTAAGAAGCTAACATCGATTATTAATGTGTAGATAATGTAAAAAAAAACATAAAAGTGAAACACAGACCTTTCTCTGCCAGGATTAGATTTTAAATTTAGCTGCTCTGAAACTCCAGTCATTAATTAACCCATTCTTTGCCAGTTGGGCGACGCATCCATTCCTCATCTGTCTTGGAGATGCGATACCAGGATCTCTAATCCTCCATGTTCTGGTTGGAAATCAGGACTCATTTAGAGCACAGGATGTCTGAAGCTAAAGGCCTAATCACAGAAACCAGGGCGCCAAACAAGGCACATCATGTCACAAACTAAAAGAATATGTTTCAAAAATAGGTCTAAAATAAATCAAATGATGCAATAAGAGGTTTTATTCATATGGCTGCAACCTGCCCTTTTAAAGATGCTGAAATGCCTTAATATAAAATTCGATTAAGTCTTATGCAGATAATTTTAACTAAATGTTCATATTCAACACTTTTCATCCAGTTCTTTACCCTACCCATATAAACAAACCTTATTGCATATCTAATATCACAGCTGAAAGACGGACAAAATCTAAACCAAACACTTTAATTTTTGACATAATTTAAATACCCTTTTATGTCTTATGTTAACCCTAAATGTAACTTAGATCAATGTTTAAGTCTAAACCTTCCTGGCTTACATGTTAATCAGGTCAGCAGCTCCACTTCCCCTGCTGCTGATAATTTAATCTCTGCATTTCAATTGACAGAAGGTGTGTTTACTTTTACTCTTCACTTTGAATGCACACGCTTCATCAGCCACTTAGCTAAAAGTTAATGTTTAGCAGAGCTTAACTTGATTTGAACCAAGGATACAACATGTTGGCATTTTTTCCTATAATCCTAATTCAGTTTGTATTGGTTAGATTTTATAGATTTTTTATGTATAGTTTATTATTGTTCACTTTGGTTTCTGGGTTCTTGTACTATTTTCAGTTGTTTTTATACTCATATATTTTTTTGTAACTATCAAAAAAACTGTTCAAACATAGAAAATGTGAATAGAAAACATTTCATGTGTGTTTATGGTTTAGAAATACATTTTAAACACAAAAGTTAAATATCTATTTTATGTTTTAGTTTATAAATGCACAATAGAGCTCCAGTTATACCTTTTTCTTTTTCAATTACAACTTTTATTTATGTCAATGAAGAAAAATGTTTTCCCATTTTTGATTTTATTTAACTAGGCTTAATTAACTGTAATAAACGATTAAAACACAGTAAAGGCCCAAACAAGCAGACTAAGCAGACTTTGTTAAGCTTTTGCTTTGAAAGCTGGTCTAACTACATTTTACAGAAGCAAAGAACATGATGAACTTTTTCTGACAGCTCAGATTAACAAGATAACGAAAGCTGCCAGACGATGGCTGAATAAATGTCAGAACAACTAAATATTCAGTAAGAATGAACATGAATATTTGTAAGAATAAACAGAATTTCTATTAAAAAAAGTCACAGACTGTCTTCGTTCTGACATATTTTATTCCATTCAAAAATTAAAATACACCTTCATGTCCGTTAAAAATACAGTACATTTGGCACAAAACTCAACAATGAACTCACAGGATGGGGATGGAAACGACAGAATAAAACCACAGATTGGATGACAGGACGTCGTGTCAAATCCTTACTAATGTTTGTTCCTGATGTGGAAAATCTGTGAACGCAAGCTTGACATGAAGAATGTTGTTGTTGGAAACAGCGTTCAGCACAAGGGAATTCTGGGACACAGCGTCCCTTTTTTAGGGAAGGGGGGCAAAGTGGGACAATCTACTTGACATTTTCCGATTTCCAACTAAATAAAGCTGCAAAGGGAAACATGAGAAGTGGAGAAGTGAAGGCAGGGGAGCGTAAAATGATAGAAACGTGACTTAGAGTGGCTTCTGTCTGCTGGGCTTTTAGTTAAGTTTAAATTGCTGCATCAAACGTCTGCTTCATGTTCTGCTGCTACATGCATGTTCTTACCTGCTGGTTACTCTATCATAGCAGATCAGGGGAAAAATCTCTGAAATATCATCTTCACATGTTGAGATAAAACCAGTTTGCTGAACAGGTTTTAGCAGTTCATCCCTCAAGTAAAACATCATGCATGAGTCCATAACATTTATTTTTTTAACATGCTTTTTAAAATAGATTTTTATGAATACGTTACACCCTTGCTCCCCACAGAAGCACTTTGTTCCTAACCCTATTAAAGATTTCAAAGTAAGTTTTAGAAGTGAGGGGTTTAACTGTTGATTTCAGTTAAATATCGCAGCACACAAAAACAATCGTTTTTATAGCTGTTTTAGAAGGAACCTCAGCCTATATGGGGTCAATTCTGTTCCAGTATTGTTCCATGCAAAGAACACATTTTGTAAATTGAAATAAAAATAAAAAAACACAATCCAGAAATGAAACTGTAAAAAAGCCTCCTAAAAAAAATTTTTTGAGAGCGATTTTGCTCTTTTTTCATTTAAAAAAAATGTCATATTTAATTTTTTCAAATTTTAAATTTTTTATATTAAAAAATGTAAACCTTAATAAAAAATAATAGTTCTTTAAACTCGTTCTGTAAAACATTTTTTTTATTTTGAAAAATAAAATGTAAAAACAGAGAAAAAAATTATATAAAAATTATATATGTAAATATATAACTGTAGAAAACAAAGCCTTTTTCTTATTGAGAAGTTTTCCTATATGTTTATTTCTCAATTGCCTCTAGATTATATTTTTTTTTGGTAAACAATAATGGAACAATGTTGACTCCATACCACAAAAACAGAAGAGCTTCCCTTCCCAACATGGAATAAAAACTCTCTATTGACAGCTTGAATCAGAAAAGCAACAAACAACTTTGGGGGAGCTGTAGAGACCAACAGATCATGTGAGTTATCAGCCTGACTATAAGCCATGCCTGCCGTTTATCTGGCAAAAAGTGGAAAGAAGAGTTTTAAGTTAAAAAATATCCTGTTGGCATTTTGGCACAGACCATGTGCTCTGATTGGATTACAGCAAACTGAGGCTTTTGGCCGTCGCATTTAACTGAACACAGTGTTTAAACATGGTGGATGCAGTATTAGGCGTTTGATCAGGAGGGACAGAGAATCTGGTCTGACTACATCAAATGGCGTTTGCTGGGAAAAATAAAAACATGAGGCTGAGCTGACCCTGAACTCACAGCCAGAGCCAGGATTGAATATTTCCACTATGTTGTGTGTTATATTGGCCTAGTCAAAGTTCAGATCTAAATCTGTGGAAGGATCCAGTCTGAGCTAAGATCCAGCTTGTCTCTTCTACATTTCACAGACTGTAGGCGATTCCAAAAACCTGAAAACAACCTGAACACAAACCTGCACAAAATTAATACCAAGTCTCCAATAACAAAAGCAACAAATCAAGGAACTAAGATTTTTAGACACATCAATACATTTTTTTTAACTCTTTCTATGTAGATTAAAAAGATGAAAGAGAACGAAATTTCTTTTTGTTTTACACTTGTGTAAACAAAATGACAAATAGAATCTGTCTAAGTCTGAGTCTAGATACTTCTCCAAAATGGGACCAAAGGAGCACCGTTATTCTAACCTCTGGGGAAGCATTTGGATGTTATACACCAGATGTGACGCAGCACTATTTTCAATTTAGATCGACAGTAGTCAGTTACACAATGTCAAATGTCCTTTAACTAAAAACTGCTACATTATTAAGGTTACATTTTTGCAATAGCGGCGATCCCAGGCGTTTTGCATCACTTAGATGAACATTAAGCCCCAGTGGTGGGTATGAATCGCACAATACAAGCAAATAATCCTCAATTAAAATACGACTGATCATGTTTGTTGACTCATTTTCATGTGTTGGCCTCATTAGAAGCTAAAGGGTGAACTGTGTATGGCTTTAAAGGAAATAAACTTAAGGAATACATTAGGCGTAAAGAAATAAATTCTCCCGTGGAGTATTGCACTTTGAGTTTTCTTAGATCTTTCCTGACTTCTACCCTAAAACAAAAGCTCTGAAGGACACCAGAGATGGGTGTGAGGGCGTAAGCACAGTAACATGGGTCTAAATAAAATAAAAAAATCTATCTAATAAAAAAAAAGAAACCCTGAACAGAAATGAAAGCATAAAGATCCTTTATATAAAACGGCTCTCTGTATATGTAAACACGCACACAGCAGAGCTCATACATTCAACTTTGCACATTTTTCAGTTCTGTGACGCTGTCCTTTGGGCGAGGAATAGCGCCCAGGGTGGAGCCGCTCCGGCCATTACGTTTAAAGTTGTAACGTGATGAAATATGAACCAGTGGAAGTTGTATGAAGGGAATTAATCTCTTTTTTAATTTAACTGAACTCTAGTTAAATTTTTCCTGACAGTCTAAAGGAGAAATTTAATGATGATCTGCAAATAAAAAACAAAACAAAAAAAAACATCAGAAAACTCTTTTTTTTTTACCGGTAATCAAGACAACAAGCTTTGTTCAGAACTCTAATTACGAATAAAACCTGTTAGCTCCTACGTTAGCTTTCCAGTTTGCTTTATAACACCAATGCACTTCCCTAAAAACTGGAAATCTAAACAAGATCCAGAAATAAACCTGCAACAGAATATCAGATCTATCAACTTCCTACTTTATTAAAGCAGAGGATGCTCCCAGTGTGGTGCTACGTCAGCTCGGTTAGTCAGCAGCTCATGGCACCATGTACGGCTTACTGAAGACCTGGGATATCACTTTTCTATTTCCCTCCTGTTTTTGTTCCAAAATGCAATAATCAGGATAATGAATCTAGATTAAAAATGCAAACATTGTTGCTGTGGCGCCTTTTCCAAACATTATCCACTGGACTTTGGATAAAAATTATTGAATCTTCTGGCTCCGCCTTTCCTCATCTCGTAACACAGGGAATAAAGCACTTTTTAGATTTAAAGACAATCATTCATTATGTTTTTTTTTTGTCGTTCACAAAAACAAAAACAGAAAAACAACCCAAAACACGCATACAGGATACGTCACATTCTGTGAAGAACTGAGCGTCTCTTTTAAGGTGCATGCAGGCTGCTACACATTATACTGTATATTCACCTTGGCGTTACCCACATCTTCCCCTCGCCAACCTGCCCCCACATGCTGCTGAAGCATTTGGTTACAATTCATATGGACAAACAAGAGCACAGAATCCATAATGAGACACACAAATGGTCTAGTATAATTCCTGGAGTAGTCAGAGTCTGGATGAATCTGCTTGTTGTTTTTCTGTGTGTTGGTTTTGGGATCTATGCTGGGGCGTCGTCTCCACAGTAGGAAAATCCTTTGAACTCGTCTTGGTTGATCTGCTTGATGATGCTGTCATCCACGGGCGTCAGGACAGGTTCTTCACGTGTAAAGTCCTGGTCAAAGTTATTGACGTCCCTTTTGGTTTTCTGTAAGAAACAGAACAATTGAGAAAGTGTTGCTGGGTCACTTTTAGCCTTTGTTCTCATGGTTGCTGAACTGTATCAGCAGTTTGAAGCAGGTATAATATGCAAACTATGGAAAGAGAAGGCATGTCTTTTACTAATTTAACTCACAATGCGAGGTTTAAATGGCGGCTTGACCTTCTTCTGCTCCAACAGCATCCAGTCGATCTCTCTGAAGAAGGGATGGAGCTTAATGGCCTCCTCGGAGCCCTGGGCCACCACGCAGCCCAGACGCCTGGTAGGACTCTTTGTCATGAACTGACAAAAAAAAGGAGACAGACGCAAACTTTTAGTTTTACAGTTAAGGGAGCAATGTGGTGGATTTGGTTACATCCTGTGGAAAAGTCACAAACTGGAACTTGCAGATCCTGCAGAAATGTTCCAGATACTAAACAAAGATAAAAACTCTAAACCCGGGCCATCCAGGTGTAGAACCGTCTGGGACCAGATGCAGAGTCAAAACTATCGTACTGTCTTCATTAGCAAATTTTTTTAAGTGACTAAAATGGTGCGTTCACACCAAACGCATTCTGAGCATCACAAAGGCGTCCAGCAGTGAACCTGGTGGCTCGTGGATCATGAAGTCAGATGCTGCGGTTGCTCGGCGTTCGCCGCTCCAGATGCCCGCTGCTCTGGCCACTACGCGGCTCTATTGTCTTTGCCATGGAGAGATTGGCTTTTTTTTTTACTTTGATTAAATTTAAAAACACTTAATTAAATAATGCAGTAATTCCTTTTTTTTAACCAGCTGTTGTAAATGTTGACAGTAGGGATGTACAGAGTGCCTTGTGAAAGTATTCAGCCTCCTTGAACTTTTAAAACTCTTTGCCACATTTCAGGCTTCGAACATAAAGATATAAAATAGCATTTTTTTTAATGAATAATCAAAACAAGTGGGAGACAACCATGAAGTAGAACAAAATGTATTGGATATTTTAAACCTTTTTATCAAATACTAAACTGAAGAGTGGGGCGTGCAAAATTATGCAGGCCTCTTACTTTCAGTAACTCTAGAGAAGATCAGCGATGATCTCTGAATGATCCACTGTTGACCATCATTGACAGGTGATGGTCAATAGAATCCACCTGTGTGGAATCAAGTGTCTGTATAAATGCTTCTGCTCTGTGATCGACTCAGAGGTCTGTTTAAAGAGCAGAGAGCTTCGTGAAGAACAAGGAACACAGCAGGCAGGTCCCAGATACTGTGGAGGAGAAGTTTAAAGCTGGATTTGGATACAGAAAGATTTACCTTTCTTTAAAAATCCCAAGTAGCACCGAGCAATCGATAATATTGAATTGGAAGGAGCATCCGACCACTGGGAATCTACCAATACCCAGCTGACCCTCTAAACGTTCAGCTCAGACAAGAAGAAGACTGATCAGGGATGAAGCCAAGGGACTCCTGATCCCTCTAGATGAACTGCTGAGATCTACGGCTGAGGATAGAGACTCTGTCCATGGGACAACTTCAGTCACACATCTGGTCTTTATGGAAGAAAGACATTTCGTAAAGATATCCATAAAAACTCTCATTTAAAGTTTATTACAATCCACCTGGGAGCTACAGCAAGCATGTGGAAGAAGGAGCTCTGGTCTGATGGAAGCAAAATCCAACTTTTTGGTAAGACGTTATGTTTGGTGAAACAGTTCATCACCACGAACACACCGTCCCCACTGTCAAACACGGTGGTGTTTCATGGTTTGGGCCTGGATTTCTTCAGCAGGGAAGATGGTTAAAACTGATGGGGAGATGGAGGAAACCACATACAGGATCATTCTAGAAGAAACCCTGCTGGAGTCTGCTAAAGAGCAGAGACTACAAGACAATTATTAAAAACATAAAGCAGGATCTACAATGGAATGGTTCACAAATAAACACATCCAAGTGTTAGACTGGATGGAGTCGATACGCATCTCCATATACTTCAACAGATACGATAAGCTGCGCTTTACTAAACCCCCTGTCAATACGATGCTATACTAATAACTTCTTTTCCTGAGTCAATGCCATTCAAAAATTATTTGATGATAGGACTTAGATTTAGAATATGTGATTGTTTGATATTTTTATTTAGGGTTTGAGTATTTATTAACTTCATTCATGAGGTTCCTTATATGCTCATCACCTTTGATGACCAAAATATGACAGTACTTTAAAATAAGTGCCGCCATATCTGCTAGCTACTGTACTAGCTTTATCAAAGAAAATACCAAAGGTTATTATTTTCTGATTATGGAGATCATCTAATAAAATATTTTTTGCCAAAAAATATTTGATTTACCACTTAGATTTGCTTTTTGATTTGGTTTTGAATTTTGTTTCCAATTGCTCTGAATTAGTTAATTTATCCACATCCCAAATTCCTTCACATAAACTTTATTTCCAAGCATAAAATCCCTTTGAAACTTTGTGACTGAAGCAGTTGGGATGTGGCTAACACTTCCTCCTGACCAGAGATCGCTCCTGAAACAGACACATTAAAATGACAAAATCCAACTAAGGATGATTCATTTTTATGTTCCAAACAAAGCAGAGAAAATGCTATTGTACTGAATGTTTTACTATGTAGTAAATCTTAAATTTAGAAACTGCTACTTGTTTATTTGAATTTGTATAGTTTCAATATAGTATGTCCATTCTGCCAATCTATGCTCCATCTTTGCTCTAATTACAAAGACCTTCCAGATGTTTTATGTTCTGATTCCATTAAAGAAGAAATAATTAGTCACACAGCTCTTCAGAATAAGAAGCGTCATGTTTACAGAAAAAGTGACTCTTTTTATACCAGTGATTTATTTTTTGTTTGTACATTTTCATATTATTACATCTTAATTCAGTTAACCCCTAGAACCCTACGGACCCACCGGCGGGTCCAGCTGCCACGTGACCACGTAATTTTAACAAACCCCCAGTATTGATGTAAAAAACACATTTGGCACAGTTTGGTGACATTTTTGGATAAATGTGCCAAAATGGCCTCTCCGACTAAGAAATTTCTCACTAATACCATTCTAAAATAAATATGATTCATCTGATTGAGTCCAAATTTGGTATATTTTTACACATCATTTAGATTTAAAAGTCTGTACTACTTTTTTGTGCTATAAATAATATTTTAGTAGTGTTTTGCAATGTTTATTTCAAAGAAAATTTTGGCGAGGTTCAAAAAATGCAAAATATTTTGTATTTTGTCCCTAATATTTCAGGCAGGGTCAAAGCTACAATGGTGCTGACACCAGAAAACCATTCATGACATCTTACCTTTACAGACGTACCAAAAGTTTCTTCTTAAATCTAATAGCTGTGAGGCTATAAGGGATTTACTTTTGTGTGTTTTTGGCAAGCAGAAATTTATTTATACCCCCTGAGGGTGTAAGAGGTTAAGGACATTTATGTGCATTTTGTGTTGTTTTTTTGACGTGTTGAGGACATTGGGCTCTTCTGTTTGTTCCATTTCATTACACATTATAATAGACTAGAAATTGACAGCCACCAAAGTCCTAAAAATAAATGACAACGTCGATGGGTTGTTTGGATGGAACATTAGCTGTAAATAAAAATAAACTGTTTATACACGAGGATGACGTTCATTTGAAGGGAGCGACGTAAAAAGGTTTTATACATCCTGATCATGGGGTCCCTCAGGCCTCAGAAGATTAAACAAGGTCCAAAAGATGAGGTTTGAATTAATCAAAATAACAATTTCAAGTACTAATACAGGATTAGTCATCGGCTGTTTAATCTGTGTCCAAATAATGTCCATGCCTATGATCAAAAAAAGAAAGGTTAACTAGATATCTCTCACATAAACTTACAATCGACTTTATCCTGATCTCTTTTGATAAAAAACATTGTCTTATACATCATGATATAAACTCTGCTCACATTAATACAGTTTGTTTAAAAAAGTATTCTGGCAAAATGCTAAACTTTTCTTAATAAATTTGTTAACAATATCAAAGTGATTTAATATAAGTTTCGGTCTCGGTTTTATTATAGGACTTTTTACAAACATGATGGTGGATCTGGTTTTGACTTTTTCTGCTTTATATTCTCCTCAGAAATAAGTTATTCCAAATGAGACGAGTCGACCTGCTGCACATGCTCACCTTTATGCTTTGGATGGCTAAATACTAAGAGACATCTTCACTTTTTCCCATCAGCTGTTAATTCACATTAATCTATTACTGCTACAATCTCAGTTTGTTTTTGTTGATCAGATTGTGAAGTTTATGCTTGTAGGCACAGCGATATCAGTACCATGTAAAACACTACAAGCATAGAGGTTGTTAAATCAGAATCAATAAAAAAAGAGATCATTTCATTATTATTCAAAGAAAAGAAAATGTCTTGAAAAAGAAAATTTGAAAAACTGCAATCCAGAAATAAAAATTTGAAGAAAAAAGTTTTGAGAGTAACTTTTCTATTCAAATTGCATCTTTTATAAACCAAATATTAAGATTTTCACATTTTTATGTCAGATTGAGTTTCAGGAGTTGCTGACTTTTCAAATTGCATTTTATAGATTTTCTTTACTCGACGCCTGATAAAAAAGGCTCGCTCTTATCCACCGATAGAAATCCATCTTTGCTCCTAAAACCAAAGAATCAATAAAACTCCATCTGAAAATAAGAACAATTTGAAAACATTTTATCTGAAATAAAACAGCAACATTACTCTCAAAACCTTTTTTGGAAAAAGTTTTTTTCTTAATTAAATTTCAAGATTGCTGCTATTATTTCCATTCACTAAACATCCCCTTTGCATCAATAATGGAAATAAAAATCCCTGCAAAGTTTGAGCTTTAGAAAAAGCAATGAGTTACAGGAGTTACAGGCTGACCAGCGAAAATAAAGATCTTTCATTATTTAGATTCCTTTGACAAACCCAGCTGCTCAGTCATGCATCCGGGTTTAGTTTTTTGCAAAAACTGTATGACTAATTTAACGTGACTGGAAATTCACCAATTCACCCGCAAGAAGATCACATGTCCTGTTACACATGTTAGCAACAAACAAGAAACACTGGAATCCAGGCTTAACGCAGTTAATAATAACATACCAATAATAACATACCGACAGCAGCAAACATATGTTTTTCATTCATTTCATTCAATGACTTTCAAGGATGGGGGTCTTTCTATGGGTACTTTCAAAATCTTTCTATGCCTTGAACTTCTTTTTAAATCAAATCAAAGGATTTAAAATACCTATAGAAATCCTGCAACACGCTGCATTCATCATGAACATTATAAAAACAATGCACCTTTACAGTTTTACCAGTTATTAGTTCTGACTGGGACTCCTAGAAAAATGAAAGGACTCTTTCCTTCAGCACTAACTGCTGTTGCTTTTGTTTTTTCTATATTACCACAAAAAATGAACATTTCTATTTTTGAAATGATGCAGTTAGGGCTTCAGAAGTGGGATTTAAAAGAAAGTCTTAGGAAGTTCACCGAAGCTGCCCATCGATGATGAACGGCTGAGACGACAACAAGCTGCTCGGTCTCCGTAGTGAATGAAGAGGGTTGGTCATGTGACCTGAAGTACTCAGCTGGATGACAACTCCAATCAAAGTCCAGACTTCCGGTTAAGAGACTGTCCAACATAAACAGGCACTTTCCCACAAGGCTTTGCAGTGACAGCATACCAACAGCCAAGGTAAACGCGTTTGTGAAGGAAGCACGGAGCAAATTCACAGCAGGACAAGTGTTATTACACGGATATTCGGAAAAACTTGAACCGCGCAGAAAAGTAAGAGAAAAGACAGTTATCTAATGTTCTGCAGTCAGAAGGACAGGAAACCCGGATCAACAGACAGTGAGAAAAAGGCTGCATCCTCGCTCACATGCTGCAACCTTAGAGAAACAAACATTTCCCCCAGATAATTATTATAGAAGCAGCTAGAGTCCATTAACCCGCCAGAGGCTCCTGTTATTTAAACATTTCAACACATCTTTAGAGACAACAAAGCCAAGAACCACCAGAAACAACATAGTCAAGGCCTTTTAGCCATATTAATGAAAAACAAAGGATTGTTTTCTGGTGATATCTTGAGGTTTTCAGCATAGATCCTTATTTTTAGAGGTGCAGAATGAGAGGTTGTTCATATGAACAGCTAAGTTAAACAAAGCTGGAATGGCAACAAACTACCTTCCGTCTCCTAGCAATGCATTTCCAAACACCCTGAAGCTTCCGGTGGTTCCCCCTGCACAGCAGTAGATAGATCCCTGCAAAGACCGCGCAGAAGGAGCTTTTTATGGCCCTCTGCCCAGGGCGACGTTTTGCTGCAGGCAATGGGAGCATGTCTTATGGTGTGTGATGGCAGATTATCCTTTTTTTTTCTCTATGTGGTTTAAATCACTAAAAATGCTCCAAGTAATAAAAATGGAGAGAATTTTACAGCATGCTGGGCGCCTCTAGCGATCCCCAGCTGTGACATCAGTGAAGTCAAACGTTCTGTCACAGCCTGGGTTGGTGAATAAGGAGTGTGTAGATCAGCGGGCTGGTGACCTCACAGACATCTTTAACACCTGGCTGAACCGATCCATAGTACCAGCATGCTTCCAGTCTGCCTCCATTATTCCAGTCCCAAAGAAGCCTCAGGTCACCTCACTCAATGATTACTGGCCTGTTGCACCGACTCCCATCATGATGGAGTGCTTCCAAAGGCTGGTTAAAGAACACATCGTCTCCAGTCTGCCGCCAACATTCCACCCGTTCCAGTTCGCCTACCGATGGAGCCGCTCCACTGAGGACGCCATCTCTGCTGCTCTCCACCTTAGCCTGACACACCTTGAGGAGAAGAACACCTACGTGCGGATGCTGTTCCTGGACTTCCTGAGTTTGTGACATCATCAATGAACCCTCACCCCCCCCACCATGGACTGTTCTCCCTGCTGCCCTCTGGGAAGAGGCTTCACAGCATTCAATGCAGGACCAGCAGGTTCTGATCAGACTGATCAGGTACCGCCATCAGACTGATGAATGTTTTATAAAATGGGTTATAAAAAAAGAACTGAATTTTAGAACTGTAACAACACAGTCATATGTTTACATTGCCGTTTTTCATCACAATGTTTTTATAATTGCTGCTTAACTTCAAGGCTGCACTTGAAATAGTCTAGAGAGCTGTTCTTAACCACATTTCTTTATGTTTACACTGTTTAGACTTGGGTGTACAAAATTACAAATTAAAATCTGTCTAAATCTCTAAGTCTGAACATCAGTTGGATTCAATAAAGCAAAGTATCATCGGCTTGTTTTCGCTGTTGTCTATCTTTAATAAAGTGCCTGATGGCAACAAAGCTGATTTAAAGCATTGTTTAATATTTTACTTCATAAAACAACTAAGCATAGCTAATTGCACAGTTTAGTATAGCCGCAGCACCAGATGGATTTCCACATCATTATGCTCCGAGCTCTAGAAGAACAAGAAGACGCGGATCCCGCAGGCGGAGAGCCACAGCTGGAGCCCCACTGGCCCCGGAGCCATGAGCCGAACCTGGTAAGAACCACATCGGAAGGCCAATGTTTCCCACCCGGACAGCAGAAAGGACCCGGTGCTTGGACCGCTCGCTGCGACAGGATTACCGAGGAACCGCCTTCTCCATGCAGGCCGCCAGCTCCGCACACAGGGCTCCAACACTGACCGCCAGCCTCCACGCCCGGCTGCAGCAGCTCGCTGCAAACCCAACCAAAACAGAACCAATCCCCTGTTCCCCTCTTCAAACCAAAGGTTGGACTCTGGTTTAAACCAATTAAAACACAGCAGCATCTGGAAAATGAAGTTCTACTGACTCTGCATAAGATCAAAGAACATTTAACAGCACTGATTAAACCAGCGAGCATTAATTGCTTCCTATTCATCCTCGTTAAAGGATAAAACCTCCATCACAAAGGTGAATAAATATTGACCTGTATGTAAAATGACTACTTCCTGACTAAACTGATGTCACAGCATCCCTCAGTTGGTCACGTGACCGAATGAGGAATTCAGCGTTGTCTGCTATCTTAGTGAATTATTTTATGCTATAAACAACATAATGCTGGAAAGTTTTTCACCTGTTTAATTTTGTACATATTATCAAATGAGAAACTGTAAGTTTGTGAACTTTAAACAGGGGGAGCGTGTGAGACTGACCGCTCTCAGGATGGACACGGCTTCCTTGCTGAGCCAGACAGGGTAGAGGACGTCGTCATGGAGGATGGACTCGAACAGATCGTCTTCGTTATCGGCTTCAAACGGTGGCTGTCCCGCCATCATCTCGTACATCAGCACCCCCAGAGCCCACCAGTCCACTGACGGACCGTAGTCCAACTCCTGAAGGATCTGATCAGAAAACAGCATCAGATCAATGATTTCAGCTACACAAGAAATGCTTCCTGGAAACTACAGAATGCTGTTAGTTTAGGCCGACAATCTTCTGTGGTTTGCTAAAGTTCTGCTCAACTAAAAAACCCTTTTATATTTTCAGGTGATTGAATGTTCTGGTGAGATCTTTCCATCCTGTTCGGTCTGCAGGTGGGAGATGATTGGCTCCTTCACATCCATCCATCATTAAGGCACTGTGTTGGCTTTTTACAAAAACATTTTTTTTTCACCAGTTGGAGTACATAACATATAGCAAATTATATAACCATAATCTCATTTTAAATCAAAACTATATTCCTAGAGTATTCAATTATTTTATTTAGTTTATTTTACTGTGTAAAAAAAAAATATTGTTATTAACAAACTCTTTGTCAACCAATGCTAGTTTGTTTTAGTTTGTTAGTTTTGTATAAACAACATTGTGCTAGTTTGCACATTTTAGTAGAAGCACAAACAGGTGCTGAAAAATGAGAAAAAAGAAAAATACATTGAAATAAAAGCTACATAATAATTAATGGGATAAATGATAGAAACATTGAATGAAAAGGTGGACTGGAAACTTAGCTAATAATAATTATATATCAGTCTAAGAGAGAAATCTCTAAATGAGTTTCTAATTATCAAAAGTTTTGTCCTGATTTAAAGAATCTGAGGCTTTCAGCACTTCTCCAGTTTTCTGGGAGTGAACTGATACTAGGTATCAGTTCACTCCCAGTCTGTAACCTTCTTAGGAGCAAAGCCATTTAGTGATCTATAGATCTATAGAAAGCAGGTGGAAGGACTTTAGAATTGGGCAAATATGATCTACTTTCTTAGTTCTAGTGAGGACGCAGGCAGCAGCATCTGGATCAGCTGCAGCTGTCTGATCTACTTTCTTAGTTCTAGTGAGGACGCAGGCAGCAGCGTCTGGATCAGCTGCAGCTGTCTGATCTACTTTCTTAGTTCTAGTGAGGTCAAAGGCAACAGCATCTGGATCATCTGTCTGATCTACTTTCTTAGTTCTAGTGAGGACGCAGGCAGCAGCATCTGGATCAGCTGTCTGATCTACTTTCTTAGTTCTAGTGAGGACAATTATTAAGAAAATCAAAAAACCAATTGACAGATTGATTAGCTAAATAAGTGTTATTTCCTGTACAATATTTAGTAAAAATGCAAATTAAATAAAATATGGAGGAAGTAATTAGCATATTTAGTGCAAGAAAACAGAAGAAAGAGATGAACCTGAATCCAGTGCTCAGTGGGGTGTTGACTGATTGGCCTCTGACTGATATCTGACATTCATGGAAAAAATGAGCATGTACGTGTTACTGGCTGCTGGCGCATTTCAAACTTCTTGGGAGGTTTTACCTCTGGTGCAATGTAGTCTGGGGTCCCGCAGAAGGTGGTGGTTGTGACTCCATCCAGGATTCCCTCCTTGCACATCCCAAAGTCTGCCAGCTTGCAGTGACCCTCAGCATCCAGCAGGATGTTGTCCAGCTTCAGGTCTCTGCAAAGCAGGAAGGGATGTGGAGGTTTGTTATGGAGCGTATTAGCAGGACAGTTCAGGATTTCTCATTTAAAAAACACAATGAACCCAAATGTTTGTGTAAGTTGTGTGTAAGGTTTTGAGAATAACTTTTTCTTTTTTCTTACTATTTAATTTATTTTAAACTATTTTATCAAATCAAACTAAATCGAGAAAAAAAAGGCATTCCTTTCATTTTATGGATCATACTTTTCCCTTCTGCGGTTGGGCTTTCCTCTGGTGTGAGGAGCAAAGACTCTTTTTTTATATGGACGCTTCGAAGAACATTTTATCAGTCACAGTTTGGAAAGAAAGCAATTTATAAAACTTAATCCAAAAATCTGTATCAGGAACTCTAGGTATCTTTGCTTAGACTGCTGCCTCTGTGACCCAGAAAAGCGGAACAAAATGTGTAAAAATGACGTGTGTAAAAATGACATGAAAATATAAAATCATGAACAAAAAAATGAAAAAGACTTAAGGCGTAAAAATCAGCTCATCCAAGATGTTTTTCAAGCATTAATTTCAGGATTGCATTTGTTTCAAAATTTTGTTTTTCTTTGCTTTTAATAATAATAATGGAACAAATTCCACTCCATAGCTTGAAAGAAGGGGAGCCGGCAGCAGAGAAAGTTTGGTGACTGAACGGGTGGAACTACATAAAGAGAAAGAGACAGAAAGAAGTCAGAGATAAGGGCCGCGGCGTTGACAGACGACAGGGCCGGTCATGAATGCAGCCGCTCTCGGGTTTGATGGTTGATTGCTACAAAAATGTCAACATCTCCTCGGATGCAGCCACTGCATCCATTCAGCTCGAGGTGTTCCCAGAAACCGCAGCACCAGGAGCCAGGGTGTGCGTGCTTCTCAAAGGCTTATGCAAGAGTTCTGTTGTTATAAGCCCTAAAAATAAACGCTGAAAAAAAAAAGAAAAACTGTGATCAGGAGCTGCAGGGATTTGTTAGTGGAAGTTTGTTCTTTTCTGTCCCATCATGTTTGGCTATGGTGAGGCTTTTCCCCTGGATTAGTGCTGAGAGAACATTTGGTTAGAAAATGTCAGAAACATTTTCGGATTAAGACAAAACTGATATCACCTTAAAAAAAATCCTGTTTTAAAACTAATGCTTGAAATGGATATAAAGAAAACATTAAAAAAATAAACTTCAGCCAAAACTCCATGTTACGTTTGTTACATGTTTTCCCACCAGCAGATGACATTTCCAGTCAGTTATGGCAGGTATCTGGATATCGGGCAAAGCTGCAACCATCCCTGGTATGCTAATGTTCTTCAGGTCTTCAGGATTAATACCGCAGCCTGCCAGATGACGTGGAGCCTTTCAGCTGGTTTTCAACCAAGGCTTGGAGGTCAAGCTAAGGTCAAAATCAAGTTCAAGTGGACGTTAAACATCATTAATAACTGACTTGGAGAATTTTGGAGGTTGAAAATCAGAGGCTGTTTTGCCTTGAAGTGCTAGAAATAGCAAAGTAAATAGATGTGGAAATGGCAAAAGTATTCATACCTTTTCATTTGTTTTGTTTTTTTATGTGAAAAGAAAACGTGAGCGACCAACACAAAGCAGCCAGTTAATGTAGACTGTAAAAAAAGTTCATTTTAACAAATCTCTGCACATCTACGTACATCAAAACAGTTCTAGATCTTTGCAGCATATCTCAAGCTGAAACAAAATATAAACGTAATTATTAATTGGTTTCAGATCTGAACTTTGACTAGACCATTCTAAACCACTCCCCCTTCTGAAGCATCATGCAGTCACTGCCATGTTTCATGATAGAAATGGAGTTTTCAAAGCATTAGGTCACATTCTAGTCTTCATGTTTTTTCTACAGAGATTTGTCCAAATCTATGATGCATCTTCCTAATAGGTGTGTTCATACCAAATGGGAAGACAGGACATTGATAGCTCAGTGGAGCAGTGGGGTAGTAATGCTGCCTTGCAGCAAGAAGGTTCTGGGTTCGATTCCCAGCCTGGGGTCTTTGCATGATGGAAAATAATGGACAAACGGAAAATAATGGACAAACAATACGGCAGGACATTACAGTAAAATTCCATGCCATCAAACTGTTGGCTGTTCCTAAATTTTAATGAGTGAGTCTTTGTTTGGATTGTTTCTAATATGGAAAGCATAAAAATGGCGTCAGCATTGGCATCGCTGGGTCCACCTGATAAGTTAGCAGATGGCCTATACCACCATTTGGCTTCTCAACAGATGAGTTCACACCAAAAGCAAACACGTTTTTTTTTTGCTGGTTGCATCACATTTCCCTTCTGTCTGGCAAACAGTTTGTTTGGACAAGGTCATTCTTTCAAGTTACAGTGGTGTACTTTTGGTAAAAAAACCAAAGCGATGGTGCACCGAGGGACCACCTGCTCTAGCAGCTAGATGGTCGCTTCCAGCGGTAACTCAGGACCTGCTTTAACACAGCAGGGGGACGGATTAACCTCTGGTGAGTTTATGAGTGAAAACCTCTGTGCTCCGTCAGCTACATCATAAACACATCAGTCCCTGATGGGTTAACAGCAAGCAGATTGATAGAAAGCGTAAGGTTTTTAAACTCCAGCATCGTTGCTTTGCTCTATTCCTGCATGAACCACCCCAATGGATGTTTGCACCATTTGCATCACTCCAGACCTGTCCTTTGCATTGCTAACCCTTCATTCACTCCTGAACATGCCTTAAGAAAGGGGCGAAGAATAAATCGCTCGCACAGTCACGTTAATTGACTCGGTGGGATCCCGCCACTAAGCTGTTTTTTCAGAGACTTCTCTTCATTCAGACATGAGAAAAATCAGAACAGATGGGTCAAGTTTAACAGATCTAAGAGAGTTTTGCAGGCGGATCGGACCAGGCCAAAGGTAAAGAGGAAAAAAATAGAGGATGGTGATGTGAGGTGCCTGTGACTGTAATGGAAGGTACTCTATATGACATTCAGATGCTATGCTAGAACATTTAGGGCCTGGTTTTCTAAGGTTTACCTGTGGTTAAACAGGTGCAAATGTGCTTGTATGTGCAGAGCAGATCTTTAACCAATAAGCAAAGTTATTTACAATACAGCAGACAGCGGGAGAAAACTATTAGTTTTCACCTGTTAGGATTATTATTATTGACTAACTTTTTTACACCTTACCGTACTTTCTATTCAACTTCCAAAGAACTTTATGCTTAAGGCTTTGGATGTCATGAAGCTGTTTGTACAGTGATGTTGTCTGACAGGAACCTTCCACTGTGTCAAACAAAACAACTGCATTATATGATAAACCAATAATATGGATTTTATTAAGTGGTAACAGAGTAAAGGGGTTGTTTCTAATGCATAGCACACTTTTCAGATTTGTACTTCATTTTAAAATTATGCATATGTGCTGTGTTGGACTGTCACACGGTGTGCCTATGAAATATTGTAGGTAAGGGGTTTGGGCCTGCAAAGCAAAAGATGAATATTTCTGAGTAATATTTTTTCTTAAAATAAGTGTATTTCCATTTGTGGAGATAAGTAAGACAAATTTGCCAATGAAAAAAGATGATTTATATTTTAATTAATAAAAAATAATCTTCATTAAACAATTTCAAGTGCATATTTAATTATCCTGTAATCCTAAATCGCCACAAAAATAATTCCAAAACTCATCAATCTGCTCAGATTAAGGAGAAACACAATTATTTTAGTAATAATACTGATTGAACTGTATTGATACACAGTAAGGCCTTTGTTTAAGGCCTTGTTCTGTTAAAGGCTGTTATTTAAGGTATAAACTTTACCTACTTTTAGATTAGTTATTTTAAAGTGCAACATGACCAAATGTTAATCTGTTGAGCCCTAAGAACCTGCAGGCTGGTGTTAACAAATAATTCAGACCTTTTTTTATTTTCCACACTAACAAAAAGATTTACTTGAAGACATTATGACTGCAAACCACTTCCTACTTTATTGTTTTATATTTACAGGCAGAATAAAACTAAAAAATCTTTAGAGTTCCAGTTGTTGCTTTAAAAGTTTTAGACTTTTAGCAGGATTTTTATATTCCTGAAATCTAAAATGTTTCTTGCTTTTGCTGCCCCAGAGCCACCATCCATGGTTTGCATCCATGGCGCTGTAGCACCTGACGCTAAAAAGAGCGGCTCTCGTTCGAGTCTCCCAGACAACAGATTAAAACATGCCATCTCCCGTCTGCTTGCATATCGCGCCTGCGGGAGACTTGCTGGAGATTAAACGGCTGGACTGCACCCCTGCAGAAACATGACAGAGAAATTTAATGCATCACTGATTGAATTTAAATCAGCAATGACATTAATTGCTATATTACACATCAGCTTGCTGAAGGAGGATTTAATATTAAGTGGCTGCAGGTGTTTGGTGGAGCTAATGGAATGATATTCTTTTCAGAGAAAATGTTTAGCAGAAGAGGACAAGCAGCTAACAATAAGATGTAATCATAAAATGTGAAAACTAGCCTCCTATTTTGTCCTATTTCTGTTTCTTAAATCAAAATGGCTTTAAGTGGGAGAAATATGATTTATAGATTTGTAAGGAGGGATACAAAAAATCTTCAAATTGCAATTAATTATTAATTATATTTTAATTGAGGGCTGCTCAGTGAAGCAGTGGGTAGCACTGCCTTGCAGCAAGAAGGTTCCGGGTTCAATTCCCAGCCTGGGGTCTTTCTGTATGGAGTTTGCATGTTCTCCCTGAGCATACATGGGTTCTCCCCGGGTACTCTGGCTTCCTCCCACAGTCTAAAAACATGACTGTTAGGTTAAATTGCTTCTCTAAATTCTCCTAAGGTGTGAATGGTTGTTTGTCTCTGTGTTGCCCTGCAATGGACTGGCGACCTGTCCAGAGTGGACCCCGCTTCTCCCCCGTAGACAGCTGGAGATAGACAGCAGCACTCCTCACCACCCCACCTGGGATTAAGCCTTTCAGAAAATGGATGTGAATTGATTAACACCAATAATTGAACTTTATT